CCACACCAGAATTAGGAGTCTGTAAAACTGCATGAATCTGAAGAAATAGGCCTCAACCCACCAATCACCGTATCAGAGACACCATGAGACATATGAGTCCCACTAATTGCATCAAAATCCACTTTACCTAAAAATTATTTTTCATTTTATCTAGATATATTTTATCTAAAAACATGTGTTTGTTACTATTTGTTATAGGCATCTCAGAAAAAAGATGTGGAGATCTATTCTGAAACATCAACCATTGAAGGCTGTGAGGAGCACAGTTCCACTCTGAAATACATGTGGATGTCAGCAGTTGGTGTCAACTCAACAGTAACTGGTCCACTGGCTTTACTATTGTCACTGACGCTGGAAAGCTTTTGGCTCTTGACCACGAGTCTTTACTTTAGAGAAGAAGAAGGAATTTTTTAGAGTTGAGGAAAAAAACCTATCTCTGGCCATTTCAAATAAAGAAGCTGCAAAAAATTAATAAAAGGAGCCAATCTGCTAATTAAATCTCCAAGAGTAATAGGAGGAACAATTACTTTAAGACACTACCTCTCTCCACATTATTGTAAACAAATTAGCTTCAACACCCACACAGTGGTAAAACAAATGCCAATTGTGCCTAGATATCTTCTTGAATAGGTTTTCTCTTCCCCATTACCATCCAATGATTAGCATTAGTTTGATAGTTAATTGGAGATAAGCACATTGATTATCTGGAGAAATTAATTTCACCCACTTTTATTCTAAAACAAAACCACAGCCACGCTTAATAAAAAACATAACAACAACAATGTACCCAAATCTCATAATGCAATCTAATCATGTCATCAACTAAAGTCATACTAGTGTAGGGTGACTCCTAATCCTAATCATGTTTAAGTTACAAAAAAGAGCAGATTAGTCACCAAGGCAAGCACAAACTGGGGATGACAGATAACATGCGAAGATAGTCTACAAGTCAATAAAACAAGGAATACTCAAAACAACTACAAAGCCCGTGTGGAGACCTGGTTGGCCAGCAGTGTGGCAAGACCTGGGAACTCTTGAGCCCAAAGTCAGTGACATAGCCACAGAGGACTAGAGTGGAGAATGAAGCGTCCAGCTGATAAAGAAGAGAGGGCATATGCATAAGAACACCCACACTTGCAGATAATACCCACTTGACCTGGCTTCAATGACTGGATGATCAGAGGTCAACTAGAAGAAAGAAGAGGAAAAAAGAATAATCTTATACAATTTGATGAACTTGACTTACACCTATGGATGCAGTAGCTCAAAAGAGGAAACAAATCTATACAGCGAGAATCATTCCCACCCCCCTCGATACACAGGGTAGACAGGGATGGGCAACTTGGATATTGGCTACCCAAAATAGGGGGCTATAAAGGCAAGAAGTGACTGACTTGCAAGCTTTCAAGAGGGAACCTAGATCCAGAGGGTGCGGAGGATGGTAGAATCTCCACTGAGTAGTATCCAATCTGTCTGGGCGAGGCTGACGAAAGGAGATGCGGATAGGTCTCTTTTGATACAATAGTGAATAATTGTTATCAGGACTGATTGTGAGGGTTGGAAATGTAAAAAGGTAGAGGTTTTGTAGCAATAGGAGGAGAGTGATTGACTTTGCAGTCTAGGAGCAGAGGTCCCTGGGACCATCAAGGGAGAAGAGTGGAGAGTGGGACCCTACCCAGAGAAGCAGTGATGTCTGAGATGGAGGCAGAGATGATGATATGATGATGTGGAGAGATGGAGCGGCTGGGGACTTTAAACCCAGAAAGGGAGAGGGGCTGAGTACTGACAACCAGGGGTCAGGCTTGTAGGATATACCCTTTGGTTGGTTGATGATGCATGGAGGAGGACTGTAACCATGGTAATGAAACGATATACGATAGCATGAATATAAAGCTAATGTTCTCCCATGTAAACTATCACATAATTCACAATAAAACATTAATATATATAAAACAATACATTTGCCACTTCAACCATTTTTAGTGTAACACTCAGTAACATTATGTTCACCCTGTTGTGCACACATCACTACCTCCCATTTCTAAATTTTTCAATCATCCCAAACAGAAACTTAGTGTTCCTGAAGCAATAATGTAAATTTTCATCTTCCACTTGCCTCTAAACACCAACTGCCCTTGAGTCAGTTCCTATTCATTACAGCCTCTTGTGTTTCAGAGTATAGCTGACTCTTGAACAACACGTGAGCCCACGTATACATGGGTTTGTGTGTTTGTTTGGGTTTTTTTGCTCTTGTTATTGCAGTGGCTCCATATGATAAGCACTGAACTGCTAACCACAAGGTCTGTGATTCGAACTGCTCCACAGGAGAAAGATGAGGCTTTCCTCTCCTGCAAAGATTTAAAAAACCTCAGAAACCCTATACAGGGTCACTAGGAGTAGGAACCAACTTGAAAGCACTTAATAACAACAACAATTGCAGTGAGCGCAAGTGTTACAATTATCCATTTAAAATGCCTGTGAGTAGTTCATCTCCCTAAAGGAAACACTAGGAGATCATTAATGTCACACAGCATTTTAAGAGAATAGTTGTGCCACTTGAGCCTAGAGCAATGTAATTGTTAGGGACACTTCAGTCAGTTCCAGCTCAAAGTGATCCAATGGACAAAGGAACTACACACTGTCCAGTTCTCCCTCCACCATCCTCAGCAGTTTTGCTATATTTGAGCCCACCATTGTAGTCACTGTCAATCCATCTTGTTAAGGATCTTCCTCTTTTTTGATGACCCTCTACTTTAGCAAGCATGATGTCCTTCTCCAGAGACTAGTACCTCCTAAAGACATGCCTAAAGTATGTGAGACAAAGTCTCAAATCGTCTTCTAAGGAATATTCTGGATGCTCTTTTTCTAAAAACAGAGTTGTTTAGTCTGGCAGTCCATACACCAACATTTTAATTCAAAGACATCAGTTCTTTTCTGGCCATCCTTATTTACTGTCCACCTTTAGCATGTATATGAGTCAACTGAAAATAACACCTTAGTCTTCAAAGTGACAACAGGAAAAAAAAAATCCATGGATAACTGGGCCCATGCAGTTCAAACCCATGTTGTTAAAAGGTCCACTGTAGAACTGAGTTCTATGTAGATTTCAATGGTTGTGATCTTTTGGAAGCAGATGGATAGAACTTACTTCCAAGGTACCTCTGGGTGGATTTGAACCACCAACCTTTTGGCACTCTAGTACTCACTTTGTTCTCCATGTTGCTTGTTATGCCCATGAGTATTATCAAGTCGGTGTGATCAAGAACTCTGTCATACTAAGTTTACTCCTCTGTGCACAGAAAGTAGAAAGTACCTGCTCTGTGCATGGTTGAAGAAGGGAGAGTGAAGGAGAACAATATTCCTGCAGGGCCCATCCCCTCAAAACTGCCCCAGCTGCCAGGGATGGGACTGCTAGAAGGCAGAGACTTTCCAGAACTAGGAAAGAAACCCGTCCATCTACTGCAACCTAGAGGGAAAAAACTGCCACTCCCAATTTCCCTGAGGCCCTTTGCTGCTGCTAGAGATTTTCATAAGAAGCCTGTGGTTGATTGCAAATCCTGATGCAATGAAGAGAAAAGGGGCAGTTTAGGCTGAATGTTTCTTGTCTAGCTTCTATTCCTAGAAGGAAAGGATCTTTATATTGATTCAATTATGATTGCACTATTTTAAGAAAAGTGCATGAGATCCAAAATGAGATGCAGAACAGCAGAAGTTCAGTTTTAATTGGTTTCTGGTGTCTGGATGGTACAAATGGTTTGCATTGGACTACTAATCCAAAGGTTGGCATTGCCAACCCACCTCAGAAGTATCTTGGATGAGAGTCCTGGCAAGCCTTAAAGATTATAATCAAGAAAACTCTATGGAATTCTTTAACACATAGTCTCCATGAGTAAGAATTAACTCCACGTGTTTGATTGGTCCCTGGATGGTGCAGACAGCACACTCCACAAGTTCAAGTGCACACAGAGGCACACCTACTTCTGAAAAATCAGCCACTGGAAACCCCCTGGAATACAGTTCTACTCGAACACAATGGGGTCACCACTGACAACTATTTTTTCTTTTTAACTGATTTTTACCTTTGCTCAAGAGTTAATAAAATAACTCCAGCTTTCAACTGGATATGAATAACTGGAAGACAGGAACGTTAGAAGGTGAAATGTGGAGCAGGTTTGCTTGTGTGTTGCGAGTGGCCTACGGTGCGGAGGGTCCAAGCGGGCGTGTTGTAACCGCCCACTTTCCCTCTGTCCCCTAGACCTCTGCAAACTTGCTTAGAAGCCGCGTTCTTTTCTGCAAGGAGCTGGGGAATGAACTTTTCAAGACTGGATGAAGCAATCGCCAGGCAAAAGTGCTGCGCCTGAAGCGGGAGGATGCAGCTGGGGTTAAGAGCTTTGTATTTTTATTAACCCCAATACCTACCTGAACTCCGCTTTCAGGTATACGTCCCAGAAGCCCTCTAGCCCGAAGAAGGTGGGCCCCTCTGTTTCTTTGACATCAAGCCTTGACGCTAGATCGATCCGAGGAATCTGAGAAGGTGAGGGCTCCGGAAATCCTAAAGCGCAATAGGGTTCTCTCTTCTCTGGAGACAGGAGATCCACAAGGCCAATGTGAAAGCCGGCTCCTATTGGCTGGTGTTCCAAACTCCCCACTACCCGCCCACCCCCAATGCACTGGATACAAGTTGCCGTCCTCTTGGACGTGGGGTAGCCCTCCCAGTGCTCGCTACCCACGGACACTCGGCTACGCACTCTGACCCCCCAGTCTCCCGCCAGCCAGTTCCTCAGAGGACAGCCTAGGGAGAGCTGGATTGAGGGCTCCAGGCGCTGGGGCGCAGCTTCCGTGGTCCCTCCTTCCGGACCAGGTAGGGTGAACTCGACCCCGCTCCGTCCTCTCAGGGCACGCAGTGTCACTTTCCGCGATTCCATCCGCCCCATCCGCTCAAGCACTGGGACCACTCGTGCATCTCCTACCCCGGCTGACTCGATCCCGCGTGCCTCGCGATGGAGGTGGCTAACCTCTCGGTGATGGACGCTGGCTTCGTGCTTCCACCCAGACCCGAGGCCTGCAGTAGGAGCCCAAGCGGGAGCCGACCCCCAGAGACGCAGTTCTGGCTGGCAGAGAGCCGCTCTTCTCGGTCTTTACAGTGTTGGTGGTGACGCTGCTAGTACTGCGGACCGTGACCACTTTCCTGTGGAACTTGCTGGTTCTCGTCACCATCCTGCGCGTCCGCGCCTTCCATCGTGTGCCACATAACTTGGTGGCCTCAACGGTCGTGTCCCATGTCGGACGTACAGGTGGCGGCGTTGGTGATGCTTCTTAGCCTGACAAGCGAGCTGTCAGCCGGGCGGCGTTGGATGCTGGGCCGGAGCCTGTACCACGTGTGAGTCTCCTGCGACGTTCTGTGCTGCACTACCAGCATCTGGAACGTGGCGGCCATCGCCTTGGATCGCTACTAGACCTACACGCCACCTACAGTACACGCTGCGCACCCGCCATCGCGCCTCTGCGCTGATGATCACACTCACTTGGGCGCTGTCGGCACTCATTGCCCTGGTGCCGCTGGTCTTTGGCTGGGGCGAAGCGTACGATGCCCAGCTCCAACGCTGCCATGTGAGCCAGGAACCCTCCTACGCCATCTTCTCTACCTGCAGCGCCTTCTTCTACCTGCCACTTGGAGTGGTGCTCTTCGTTTATTGGAAGATCTACAAGGTGGCCAAGTTCCGCTTTGGCCGCCGCTGAGCTGTACTGCCAATGCTGACCACCGTGCACGTGACAGGAGGGCGTGGGGGAGCGGGATCCGCTGCACTAGGGGTACGATTAGCAAGAGAGAAAGTTGGTGGGAGTTTGTTTACTTCAGGTGCGCGCTAAAAGCTTGGTCCCCAGCGTGCCTAGAGCCCCAGCGAAGGAATTTGCCGTATGCTCACCTGGAATGCACACGGAGCGACTTGCCATCTGCACCTGAAGTACACGCCAAGGGTTCACTACCTTTGTACCTGGTGCGAGCTCAAAGGGTTTCCCCATCTGCACGCGAGGGCTGGAGCTGGCTGGACTGGAGGGGTCTTGTAAGGTGCTGCGTTAGTCTTAGAACTGAGCACAGGAGAGAAGGCAGCTGCCTGTTTCTTAATCATAGTGGCTGGGAATTTGTCTCGCAGATGAGAACATTTTCCTGGCTATTCACCCTTATTTTTGTGTCTCCACCACACTGCAGTCCATAATCTCCTGCTTCAAGAGGAGAGAAGAATGAGGAGAAAAGATCATCCAAGTATCCCATTCCTTTCACAACCCCAACCTTTACATTATCTATCGGCTAGCTCTGGCAGCACAGTGGTTACAATCGGGTTGCGAACCGCAAGGTCAGCAGTTTGAAACTATCAACTGTTCCGCCAGAGAAAGATGAGGCATTCTGTTCCTGTAAAGATTTACAGCCTCAGAAACCCTGTACAGGGTCACTATTAGTCGGAACGGACTCCTTGGCACATCACCACCACCACCACCATCCATCCGCTAGTGGCTTTGGAGTCAGATGGACCTGTGAGTCTGAATCTCAGCTCCTGGCGTTAAGGCGTTTAACTTACTTTGTCTCTGTGGACCTCTTTCCTCTTCTTTCAACAAGGCAATTGCTACTTCATGGGGTTCTTGGTAAGGATGACATGGTATGAAGAGTGTATGTAGCACAGCTAACTTAGAGCCTGGTACCTAGGAGGTGACAGAGCTGGCTGGAGTAAGAAACATATCAGACAATCCATAGGACACCAGGGATATTGCAGTGAATGTAATGAGATACAGGAACCTGTATTTAGCAGAACTCTGCAAGGGTATTCGTTATTTTGTAGTCTTGGTGTGGCTCTTCAGGATAACGTGCCGGACCACAAGGTCAGTTTGAACAGCAAGGTTGGCAATTCAAACCCACCAGCCGCTCCTTGGGAACCCTATACAGAGCTGCTATGGGTCCGAACTGACTCAACGACACACAATTAATTACCTAATAGATGCTCTGTTTTCTCATTCCTCTGGAAATCTGAAACTTTTCCTTATTAAGGGGATTGGTCATCCCAAGTAATAAGCTTCAGATCTGAAGAATAACAGAAATTATTGTCCCTTTCCAAATACAGTACGCTCATATATACAAGGGGGTTTCAAAAAGCTATAATCACTGCAGTCACATTAATTCTGCATAAAGCCCTCCTCTACCAACACCTTCCAATTATAATGTGTTCTCGTTATTGTTGTTAAGTGCTGTCCAATCAGTTCCGACTCATAGCAACCCTGTATAGGGTTTCCAAGGAGCGACTGGTAATTCAGAACCACAGACTTTGTAGTTCAAACCAACCTTGCTGTCTAGTGCTTTATCCCACAGCGCCATTCCTGTTTTGTTATAGAATTCCTCTGCCATTTCATGAAAATATAGTCTACTTTAAACAACACATATATTTGTATCTGTGGGTTAAGTAACAGTTGATTTTTGAAAATTAAAAAATGAAACTAACCAAAAAATAGAAGCAAAGCATCTTCCCTCACCACTGGCCCTGCCCCCGCCCCAAGCCAACCATGAATGCCTTCTGTAATAGGAAGGGGCTTCAAAAAGTTTGTGGAAAAATAGAATGAATGAATTCCAGTCCACTGCCATACCAGCACTCCTGACTCATGACAAGGCGTCAATGATTAAATGCTTGACTTCTAATCAACTACTAGCTGAACGATTGGTGGTTCGAACCAACTAAGAGGTAGTGACAAAAAAAAAAGTCACAACCTTGAAAAACCTACGGAGAAAAATACACATTAGTCACTATGAAGTCACTTCTCAGGGCCCCGAATCATATAATGCTGAGATTGTGGTGTCTGAGAGCATCATGCTTTTTAAGTCTCCAGGAAGCCGTTACCTAGAATCCTGGGTAATGCTCCTGAGTCAGTGTTTGCAGCACCTCCAGTAACAAGTTATCCAAACAGAGATTTAGAATATGCCAGGAATATAAGGCTGCTTTGCGCTCACCTGCCTTTTTCTACACCCTAAGGTAGATGGATTGAGTTGAATTTAAGTTTTGCAAAGTCTCTGTACTGCTTTCTGTGGGTGTCCTTATGTGCTGTTTCTTATGAAATTGGAAGGCCTCTGATGAGCCGGCTGTGTACATCTACTTTCTCTGAGGCTAAGGCTACATCCTAACCCTAAAATATTACCAAGGGGCCTGCAACAGCTTCAGGAAACAAGTATTTACTGAGTGAGTTCTCTCTACCAGGCATGGTTTTTAACGCTTTACCTTGACCTTCTTATTTAGCCTCATGATCCAGCACAGTTGGCATTACGGCTTGATTCATTGCTGTTGAATTAATTCCAACTCATGACAACCCCACGTGTGCAGGGTAGTGTTTTCAAGGCTGTGAGCTTATGGAAGCAAATTTCCAGGCCTGCCTTAAGGGAGATTCTGGGTGGGTTCAAACCAGGAACGTTTTGGCTAGTAGTCAAGCTGTTTGTGCCAACCAGGGAGTTGCAAGTTCTCGTAACCAAAATCAAACCCATTGCTGATGAGTTGATTTTGACTCACTGTGACTATATAGAACAGACAGGAACTGCTTTGTAGCCTAACACTGATGGGAGCAAACGGTCTCATCTTTCTTCTGTGGAGTGGCGAGTTAGAACCACTGACCTTGTAGTTAGCAATCCAATGTCTAACCCACTGTGTTGCCAGGCTCTTAATGAGTGATAAATTTAGATCAGATGAGATTAGAGCTGAAAACACAAACATAGCCTAACCTTGCCACAATCAAACACTTGCTTACACGTTCCTCGTCTCAGCATTAACCCCAGTGGATCCTTAGATATTCCCTGGTGACCAAACTCTCCATAAAAATCCATGCTTCCCAAGTACAAGAATGATAGCAGTGGTACCTTATGTTAAGAAAATACCTGAGGTTAGTAAGTCTATACTTCACTCTCTATATAATTACACTAAAGGCAAAGTGCGTTTTCTTCAAACCTAGTAGTGCTGTTTTTAGGTGGTTTTTTTGTTTGTTTGTTTTTTGTTTTTTCCAGCTTTTAGTTTCACAAGAACATTTCCTCGCTTGGTTTCTTATGTACAGAAAAATGGAGAAAAATTCCTGTCCTAGTATGTCAGACAGGCTAGACAGCTCCTGTTTACTTGGAGGAACTATTTTGGTTAGTTTTCTCCTTAAAGTTTCTTAGAGAAATCATCCCTTTAGCTTGGCCGCTACAATACCGGAGTCCCAGGTGTAATTCCAGCTGTAATCCAGATTGCCTTCAACTCAAACTGGAAAATCCCTTCCTATCTTTGTTAGGGACTGAACTGTGCCTCACCCCTGTACCTGTGAATGTGACCCTGTTTTGGAATAGGTTTTTCTTTGTTAATGTTAATAAGATCACAGCAGAGTGGAGTGAGTTCTATAGAACTTCTGAGAGGTGTTTTATACAATGAGCAGACTAGACACAGAGCCAGAGGAGGAAGACAGCTGCTAAGGAATGTGAAGGAGCTCTCTAGGCTACCACCAAGCAAAGGCCCTGCCCTGGAACTACCTGTCTCCCAAACTGGGAGATGATACATTTCTGGTCTTTAACATCACCCATTGGTGGTACCTTATGCTACGTCAGCATGAGGATCTAAGTATAAAAATGGTGGCATGGCAGGGGCATCAGACCTCCTCTAACTTCACAATAGTGGAGAGAGAATCACCGCTGGCATCATCCCAAAGATGATTCCTACAAGGTGGAGGTCAGACATACCTTCACCCTCCAGTTCTAACTCACTTGTCCCTCACATGACACTTCTACTCCTTTCTTGTGTTTGACAATTCATTACAATGTTCACACAAAACTCAAAGACAATCCTCACAATTTTGAAGTTTATAAGGGAAGTACCAAGTTATAGTAAGGAATCAGGAATGACTCAGGATACAATTCTTCAGTCAGAACAACTTCTTGGCCTTGCCCAAAGTTAGGCCTTTTCTTGGCCCTCGTCCTCTGCTTAGATTGGACAACTGTTACAAAGCTCTTTAGCTCCACCAATAAATGCCTAGAGGCATCCTGTAGCCAGCTTACCACCTAAAGACACTCAGCTCTGTAATTCTGTGGGAGGTGAGCTTGTTCTACCCCACTGTGGAGCAGGAAACCTGCTGCATCATCTCACAATGGTCTCCTGATTCGGCTGTGGCAGGCTCTATGCTGTTGCTTCTTGACATCTTTGCCATCTCCAGGGTTATAATTCTCGCTCGCTCGCTGTTTCCTGGGTGTAGGAAGTTTTTGGCATAGGGACCCTAGGTCCAAAATAGTCACTGTCCTCCTGACTCCTCTTTCATCATGGTAGTGAAATCTCCCTTTTCTGTCTCTGGGATGGCTCATTTTAAGTCTAGAGGGATTGCAAAAATGACTAAGCTCCTTATTAGGGTTCCATACATCTTATTTGCATAGCCTTACCCCCAAAAGAGTACCACACACCTTATTTGTATTATTAACAAGTTGTTGTTGTTGTTGTTATGTGCCTTCGAGTCGGTTCCGACCCATAGCGACCCTGTATAGGGTTTCCGAGGGTGTAAATCTTTACGGGAGTAGAAAGCCTCATCTTTCTCCCGCGGAGCAGCTGGTAGTTTCGAACTGCTGACCTTAAGGTTCGCAGCCCGATTCGTAACCACTACGCTACCAGAGTATCCTGTCTCTTTGGTTGGTCCCAGAACCTTATTTGCATAGCCCAACCCAGTCATTTTGCAGGAGTTTTGAGACCATGTCGAGAAAGAACTTACAAAAGTGATCCATTGCACTGCAC